CGCGGGTGCAACGGAGGGCGCGGATGCCGACAGATAATCGAGTGGCGACGCGGGGCCTTTTTCGAACACGCGTACTCCTACCGGCGTTTCGTCGTCGTTCCTGGCTTTCTGGCTGCTTCTCGTCTTATGCATGGTCCCACGTTGCGGCTTCCGATCGTCTTCAAAAAGACGCACGTATGGGTTGCCGTTCCCGCCACAAGGGGCGTTACCAGACAAATACCGTTTGGCACCGTTAGGTGGTATTCGGCCGGCCGCGTAAACACAGTAGAAACAAGATAAATTAATCGTGAAAACGACTAACGATGACATTGATGGTTGACGGAGATTCAGAAACAGGGAAATATTTGAGATAATCTTCTATCTCCTTTCTTCACTGATGATCTTGATCTTCTGTTCTTCAATCCGGCGACGATGGACCAAAGAAATGTAGGGGATGAGAGCTAAATGGACTGTATTTATTTGTTTTCCTATTATGTTTACGCTAGGGATTACTATATTGTTGCAAATTGAAATGAAATTAACTGAGCCTAATTCTGTGACATCTGTCTGACTAAAAGGGTTGAGTTGAAATTAAATCCGTTAAGAACAATTTACAATTATTTATTATGCGGCAGTTATCACTGAACTAGTAGGGATCTTGAGGGCTTCTTACTTGCTTGTTTTTCCGATTTTGGCCGCTTGCTGTCGCTCGAATTGCCGATCGAATGACGAAGCCGCGCCAGAATCGCTTCTTATATTCCGTATGACGGTGCGCCGTAGGCACCGAGTTAATGAGAGTGTCGTCCGCGCGGGGCCCTTGTTCTAATGCGGGGCGCGCGGGGACGTGTCGACGTGGGTGCGTTGCGGGGCGATGGCTGAATTTACTCGCCGTTGTGTCCCTCCAGCTATATTGCGGCTAATGCCGTCCTTCCTAGTAGACAAGAAGTTCTACGTCTGTGTAGAGGACGCCGAGTCCGCAATAAAACCCATAACAGCTGGTGTGCCACAGGGCAGCTGTCTGTCTCCAGTCCTGTACGCGGCATACATCAATGACATACCCACCCTGGCAGGACATTTGCACGAATGGGAGGACGACGTCGAACTAGCGATTTTTGCGGATGACGACAGCGCATACTTCACGTCGTTCAGAAGAGCCCATATTGCAGCTGCCAGGATGCAACGTCTGCTGGACCTGCTGCCACCATGGTTGGATGAGTGGAGGATGGCCGTCAATGTTAGCAAGACGACCGCTCTGCTCACTCGCCACTATAGAAATCTACCACAACCGCTAACCCTCAGAGGCCAGGAGATCACATATGAGAAGGCCGTGACCTACCTTGGATGCCGAATCAACAGGATGTTGCGCATGACTGCGCACGTCGACTTTGTTATACGCAAAGCTCGATGTGCGCGGGCAATGTTCCGTCCTGTCCTGACATCCAAGTTACCAACAAAGTCGAAGTTGACCATCTACAAAATGTACATAAGACCCCTGCTAACATACGCTGCTACTGTCTGGTATGCACTCCTGAGCGATCATCAGAAGTGGCGACTTCAGGCCCAGCTGAATTTGTCATTACGAACCATAGTCGGTGCGGGTCGCTACGTCCGGAACGACGTCATAGCGGCCAACCTGAAGATAGAGAGCCAATATGAATTCGTGGTCCGGCTGGCGCGCGGTATGTTTGACCGCGCCGACAACGGGCCACATGAACATCTCGACGGCTTCCCGCCGTTGCACTCACGGCCGCCGGACGGGCGACCCTATCCAAGAGAACTCCTCTCTATATAGATTAGAGAGTCGAGTAAACCCCACAATGCCACAGAAAGGCCAACTTCAACAAAAAATTGTGCTTAAACACAATTATTATGACAACCTCCTTTAATGACAATTTACCCGACTGCGTCAAAAGTCGCTAATATGATACGTGTTTTACCATCAAGGCGCCCAGGACCGGCACATTGTAGTGTGCCGTGAGGAATGTCCGGGTAAAGGGGTATACCCCGAGGCTCGAGACCTGCATGGCACTATGCCTTGCAGAAGACAACAACGACAACGACGACTCGCCGTCCACAACATTCTCACTTTAGGTAATTCAGTCTTTATGTTTGGAGACTTTAACTCCCACCATTCCGTTACCATTCCGCTAATCTTCTGAAACCTATTCAGCCCCACTTTCCTCTCACTACCGAGTTCGCAGGCCGAGAAACTCTCTCTCAAACCCTCTCAACCAGCTCTGGCTGAATTTACCGAGTCTTCTCCCAATTCATTAATTGCCTTAGTTAGGCGTGCTCTCAGCGGATACTCCCCGCAGGCGCCCCCTTTTCCCCAAGGGAGTCGCTTCCGATACGGCAAAAAGGCTCTTCAGACCAAAGCCAGTGTCAGGCGGTGTTTAGTGGTTAGGCACTTAACTGTTTCTCAGTGAGTCCCACATAACCACGCAGCCGGCTGTGTGGTATGCTTCGCATTCACCACCTCCATCCCCCGCTTCCCGGAGGGTATCCCTTTACTTTGCTTCTAGGCGCAAAAAAAAAACCATTCGACACAGTCGGTTGCTAGCACAAACTAATAAGAGTACTAACGTAGTTGCTAGCCACCTTCAAACATACAAGAAAGAAGTTCTTAGTGGTTTCATTTTTTTAAGGATAGGGTGACAAACGAGCACACAGTCCACCTGATGGTAAGTGGTTGCTGTGGCAAATAGACATCTACATCTATCCTTGATTACAATCAAAATGCAGACACGTTGTCATCCTTTAGGACTAAGATGGAATGCCTCGTTTCCAGTAGAAATAGTCTCCAGTTCTCTACATTAACCATATGAAACACAGCAGCATTAAGCTACTATTTTACGCTGGTATTCCGGAGAGCGTGGTCCTTCCCCGGTCAAGCCGACCCATTCGTGCTACAACTATGCTACTAATATAACTGCAGCATGGCTCTACCACGTAAAAAGCTTATGCATAATATGTAATTTACAAATTGAATACATATTATACATATAATTACATTACTTGTTTGACAATTACAGGTACTAATTTTAATGTTTTAAATCATTTAAGTAATTATAAATAGTATAATAACATTTTAAAAATCAACACACTTTAGTTGTGTCAAGAGTTACTTATGCCTACCGAGACCTTGTAAGCAATCAGGACGTCATCTATCATACAGCACCGCCTGCTAAGCAAATAACAGCACGTGAATTAAGAATATTCAATACATTGTCAACAGCACGTCCTTAAAGATGTCACTCAATTTACTTACGTGACGTAAGAATATTCAATATAGTATAAAAACCGAAGTATAATAGTTAAGACTGCCAGTAGTAGTTAGGATATTCTGTAAGTTGGTAATCTAGTATTCCTGTGTACTCACATTGACACAGTAGTTAAGTTAGCCTGTAAGTTAGAATAAAAGTACTATAGGAAATATAGGAAAAGTCTTCATCTTCTTCCACTTCAACCCTCCCTCAGCTGCCGCAAACATAAATCACGCGTACACATTAATGGCGGTTTGTTTTGTCCAATACTACACGCGACCGGATTTCGTTCGTAGCAGACCAAGTTTGACGTGTAAGCCGTCGGATTGCGCGGACACTAATAATATTATTTATTTTTATTTTATAGAATGAGGGTGACAAACGAGCTCACAGTCCACCTGATAGTAAGTGGATGTTGTGGCCCATAGACATCCACATTTATCCTCGATTAAGAATCAAAACGCTGATGCGTTGTCACCCCTGAGGACTAAGATATAATGCCTCGTTTCCTGTAAAAAAGGGTCTCCGGATTTCTACACTCACTGGTTGCGCGGAAAACCATTCATATTTTATTTTATTCGAGGGTAAGCTTGCCAAAGCGTTTGTCCTTTCCAAAAAAAACCTACCGTCCTATCGATAGACCGGGGTGGTGGGGTGAGAGGGGAAAGAAGATAGTTCTAGAATGTCACGCGATCTTCGCAACTGAAGTAATATAAACTCTCTTCCCTTCGCGCTCTTCGCTGGAACCACACCGCCTAGGACAGTAGTGTCCTAGAAGGCTCTTGCCCACGCGCACCGCTAGTTTAACCGCATTAGCCCGGAGCAGTCGAGCTCCGGGAGAAACCGCCTCACCTCGTGTGAGATATAGTCGCGCACTGCTCTCTTCCATCGCATCACCGGACAGGAACGCATCTCTAGGGCCCCAGAGAATCCGCCAGAAGTCGCACCGCAGCAAACAGAGCGCCCAAGCCGCATCGAAGCAACACCCCCGGTGAGTAACTTCCAGTTATAAGCTCGCTTGATATAATTGTATTTATTAGTTAATCCGCTCCAATTTCATTTTCTCGTAGCGTGATCAAGCGGGGTTCCTTCATATACTTTGGCAAGCAATAGTTCGTTTAGGGAAGGGCGAGTGCATTGTCAGGAAAACCGCATGCTATAGTCGCCATTTTGTGGAGACGGAAGAAGCCATCCGCTTATACAGTCCATTTGGTGTAACATCTCGTGTAATAGGCTTAAGGCTCGACCGGGGAATTTGAATTCGGTAACCTTAGGCCCGTCGCTCAACCACTCACCATACGAAACATAGCAGTATTAAGCCGTTATTTTACGCTGACAACGAGCCGATCACTTTGTGCTACAACAATAATATGTGGCTACAGCGTGGCTCTATCACGTATAAATATTTATAAATTGTTGTCGGTAGACTCTACACGCGCAAAAATTTTTTTGATTAGTACGGAGCGGAGCATTTAACACTCTAACAAGTGCTCGATTGCAATGTAAATCACAGGTATTTTTGTTTGCTTTTGTATTTTTGTTTGTTTGTAAGGGTTAAGATATTATCGTCACCTATTGCCTGCTGGGTTAATTTGTAGTCAGAATTTATCAAGATGGTCGGAATGTGAGTGAAAAGTTTTATAAAAAATACAAATAGGACAAGGCTTTATGGTCTACGATCTTTGTCTTGCTTTTATTGGTAAAGTGTACAACAAACAACAATAGTTTAATGACTTATAGAAATGTCACACCGACGCAATGGGAACTGCGTATTTTGGTTTCGTGCTAATTAATTTCTTAAATTGTAAATTACTCATGTAAATGTGTAAATAGTACGTGTAATTTTTCTAGTTAAATTAGAATCGAATTGTCGAATCGGATTGTGGAGTAAAATGAGTTATATGGTTCATTGTGAATGAAAACTGTGTCATACTTTTTGGCGAAAACGAGAGAATATAATTTTAATTCGAAACAAATAATAACAATCAACAAGATACAGCAGACGTAGGTTCATTATTCATAATTCTAATAAAATATTACTGTTTTCATACATGATGTTGTGCATTTCCCCTTTCCAAGATGGCTGACTTCTTTTTCACCAAATTTGTTTATTTCTGTGCTAATTACACCTGTTTTGGTATTTGTGTAGGTGTAGTTTACTTGAATTTGTTAAAATATTTTATACAAAGATACTGTGAAAAGTTTTAGTGATATTGCAATAAATTCTATCATCTAAGGTTGTTGAACCTGTCTAAACTTGTCCTACTCCAAAACTCGAGAATGTTAATTGATCGTTCTTCAGTTAATTTCTTCCAGTTTAATAAAATATTTTAGCAGTGTCAATAAAATTTGAGTTGGTACATTTTATGTGTTGGATTTGCAAAAAAAAAACTATCATTATCAGGTTTTTTATAGAGGTGAGCAAACGAGCATGCGGCTCACTTGATGATATGTGTCGACTGCCACACATGAAAAACTGCAACACCAGAGAATTGCAGGTGCGTTTAAAAAAATGTCCCTCTGGGTTTCTTGCTGGTTCTTCCCAGGATAGATTTTTTTCCAAACCAGTGGTAATTAAATAAGAGTGAATTTCAATAAGTATTATTTGTAATGAACTAAATTTGCTTTTCTGTTTCCGTTGCTGGCCTTTTAAAAAGGTAAATTAGTTTCTTGAAGGTCCCTAAGTCGTATCCGTCAACAAAAATAGGTGTGGATACCTACTTGTAATCTTGCAAAAGTTCCTTCCATTTAAGCACTTCTAAATAATATACTGGTAGACATTATTGCACTTTTTCTGGTACCAGTGTCATAAATTATCTCAGTGCCCCCGCCGAGTTGACAAAAAAAGCGGCACTGCCGTACCATCCTGTTCACGAAGCAGATTGGGCCATTTTTCACCCACTATAACTTCGATGTGGATAAAACTGGAAGCCTGAATTTTCTACAACGAAGCAGGCATCGTATAAACATGGTATATTTCAAATTTCATTAAATTTGAACTAGTAGTTTAAGAATTATAACTAGTCAAAGTTTCGTAATTTTGTCACTCACTGACTGACTGACTGACTAATCATCAAAACTCTAAGCCACTTCTAGCATACATAGAATTAATTTAGGATAAAATTAGTGTTTAGTGTATAAATCAGGGAAAAACTAACATATTTTGCAATTTCTGTCCAGTGACATTAGATACACTAACTGTTTAACCGCTCGATTGCTTGCGAACAAAAAAAGGGTAGCTTAGTTTGCTAGTAAATCAGGACTGTTTCTCATGTTCGACCCGCCTCAATAAAACTTTAATTTATGACTTACTCGAGAGGAGCACTTCAAATATTTTAAATTTTATGAATAGCCATTGAAATAAGAAAAGAAAATACGTATGTTATTCTATCAAAATATGATTACAATAATATTTTAGAAGTGTTGAAATCACAAGTACAAGCCATTTTAGCAAATTTTTGTAAAACATCGTGTTTATCAAAAAAATAAGATAGATAAGTATATGATTATGTATTATATTCTTAAACTTAATGAATTACTTGATATATTTATCTATTTTATAAAACGATTTATATTTAAATACATAGTAAAAATATTAAGTGAAACCTGATGAAGAATTCACGGATTGCGCAAAAGATCGCTATTTATTAGTTACAATCTAGGCTGTTATTACATAAAAACTTCAATTTAACTTTATTACCTAAATTGAATAATTATATTCAAATACCATTACAACTATTTCGTATTTAAAGAATACGACATAATTACGATAATGTAAGCTATAGAAAATTATATTTAGATTCATGTCATTCTGAGTATTTTTAAAAGTCGACTTTATCACATTTTACATACAGTTTAGTTCAGTTAGTTTTTGCAAAAATATTACTTTAATACAAGAAAAAACTAATAAGACATTAATTTGGTATATAAATACTGGCAAAAATCAATAAAATTCGATACTCATGGCATATTTTATCACCTCGTTAAATCCACTCAAGCGTCACTTCATTCACAAAACTTTAACTAACAAAGTTTCGATATTTTTCATCCAAGAGGTTGGTAATTTTGATCCAAATCTATGATTTATATATTTGTTTTTGGTTTTAATATGTAATAGTTAGACTCTCTCTGTTTAAAATACGGTCTAAATTCAATTAAAAGAACTTCGTTGCTTTGCAACCACAGTTGCAAAGAGCAAAGTTAAGGATTCTGTTTTTGCAACTGTGGTTGCAAGAAGCAAACGAGCGGATAAATAACTTTGTAATCTCATATAAATATATCCTATATATTATTATATATATACAGAGTTAAATTTGCATGAAGGAAAAAGTAGGACTATCTACAAAAAGAAATGAGATGCCATCAAAAACGTAACTTGTAAAAAACTAAGTCTCACAACTAGTTCTACTGTTAGAAGTTGTGAGATCTACGAGGGGTGATCCAAAAGTAATGATAATGAAAATAAAACATGGTAATTAAAGTTAAAATAATAATTTATTTTCCTACATAGTCTCCTAACAAATCAATACATTTAGTCCATCTTTTTTCTAAACCCAGGATTCCCTTTGAAAAAAATTCTTTGTCTTGACCCTCCCAAAACGCTTCAACAGCGGCCATTACTTCACTATCGTCTTCGAATTTCTTGCCTCGGAGGCGTTCCTTGAGCCGAGGAAAGAGGTAGAAGTCACTAGGAGCTAGATCTGGCGAATAGGGAGGGTGTTCGAGCAGTTCGAATCCTGTTTCTTGAATGGCAGCCATCGCAACTACGGCTTTGTGAGCCGGTGCGTTGTCTTGGTGAAACAGCACTCCAGCTCGCAGTTTGCCGCGTCTTTTTTCCTTAATGGCCTCCCGTAATCTTATTTGGTCCGCGTAGTAAGAGCCCGTAATAGTGGCTCCCTTTTCCAAATATTCCACCATAATTATGCCTTGAGCGTCCCAAAAAACAGATGCCATAACCTTTCCCGCCAAACTTGAAACTTTGAATTTCTTTGGCGTTGGTGAGGAGGCTCGCTTCCAAGTCATCGATTGTTGTTTCGTTTCAAGATCAAAATAGTGGATCCAGGTCTCGTCCATAGTCACAGAACGAAACAAAAATTTTTCTTGATCTGCTTGGAACTTTTCGAGATTGACCCTCGAAATGTCAACTCGATTTTTCTTTTGCTCGTCGGTTAACATTCTAGGTACCCAACGCGCAGAGACCTTTTACATATGCAACTCGTTCACAAGGATTCTTTGAACGCTGCCATATGAGATCCCTGTGACCTCAGCTACATGCCTGATGGTCACTCTTCGATCTGCCAACACAACATATTCGACTTTTTTCACATTGTCTTCAGTGAGAGACGTGGATGGGCGTCCTTCGCAATGTTCATCTTCAGTGGATGTTCTGCCCAGTTTAAACTCCTTGGCCCAGCGTACAACTATAGAATATGGAGGAGCAGAGTCCCCCAATGTTTCCACTAAGTCACTGTGTATGTCTTTTGAAGACATTTTTTTCAAACAGAGGTCCTTGATGACAGCTCTAATTTCGTTTTTCTCCATGTTGATGTTATCTCTTTGACAGTTCGTATTCAAATGAATGTTTTTCCCGAAAATCGTGATCTATTTATATGATTTTTTTAGGCTGATGCAGTGAGTATATAAGCAAGCAAAAAATATTTTTTTTGGATTTTTATGCGGACCTGAAGTAACCGATTATCATTACTTTTGGATCACCCCTCGTATGTAATACCAAGTTGTTTGAATTATTTGGTCCCTTCTTAAGGGACCTTCTGTCTTAAGTTATTACATAATTAGCTAACCCAAGAACATCTTATTGTGACCATATCAATATTAAAAAATCTTTTATATTTTAAATAAATAAATTGACTTGGCAATTGCACTAAAGAATCTAATTTAATATATGTATTACTTGTAAGATACATTGTGTTTTCGTACCACCGGCTGGACCAATTTCTATGGGATTTTCACTGGCAAATAGTTGATTTATAAGGAGTAACTTATGCTACTTTTATTTTAGAATATTAATTAGGATTTCATTTATAAAAAAGTAAATCCCATGAAATCCAATTGTAATAAATTCCACACAGGCATTGGGGAAGGGAACAACTAGAATATAAAAAAAATAATATCTGCATAATAGCTTCTCAAATGGGGCCTTAACTTATTCCATAAATAATTAATTGCACAGTATTCTGAACATGTTTGCCAAATAATGTGACTAGTACATGCTGAGTCACTGAAATGGTGTATTAAAAAAATGTGTATACTCATTTAAGGAACAAACATTAGTATTTAAGGTGTGCAATATATTACTAACAACTTATATGGATTTTGCTCCAAAAAGAAATGCATTAATATTATCAGTTTTTGATTCTTTGAGTGTACTAAGAAATTTCTGCAACTCAAGATAACACCTAAAATGTAATTTACTCATTAAATCTTTGAATCTTATTTTTCCATAATTAACGGTAAAATCCAGGCTCTGTGATCAATTTTCGCTTCAGAAGCTTTGGGATTAGGTAAGAATAACCTGCGCATTCTGGCAAGAGCCCTGATTGGACACTGTTGTCTTAAAAAGCACATATCCATCCTGGGACTAAGCAACTCAAGAATGTACAGGTTCTGTCCTTTAACGGAAGCATATCCTAACTGACTGTGACCCTTAATGCACAAACATAGCACTCATCTGGGAAAGTATATACTTCGCTCAGAAGAAGTGAAATTGTTCACAGCTAAGCAACTCCTATTCATTGAAGACAATAGATATTTTAGGTTTGCAGTGATACTGACCTTTCTAGACCGTCATAGCTGTTCACAGAGTATAAAGAATAAAATAGTTCAATTATTTCTTTAAAAAAAATTATACATATGAGACCGCCTGCAAAGTACAACCTATTATATAAAAAAATAATTATTAAAATTGATCCACAAGGGTCAAAAAATCACATGATGTACATACTATAAATGTACTGTTGACTTGAGATCAACATTTTAAGCTTTTGTAGCTTGTTACACTATGGTGCCTTAGATCTCACACATTTTTTGAATAAATTTGGTGTAAAGGTTAATTATAAGAAGCATTTTTTTATAGAATAAGGTGACAAATGAGCACACAGTCAACCTGATGGTAAGTGGATGTTGTGGCCCATAGACATCTACATCTGTCCCCAAAAAAAGAATCAAAATGCAGATGTGTTGCCACTCCTGATCACTTAGATTGAATACCTTGTTTTCAGTAAAAGGGGTCTCATGAGTACATTCTTACTTAAGCATACAACTGTACCATTATAATATGTACTGTAGAGTTAATTGTTTATTTAAAGTCTTTTTTATTAACCTATAACCTCTTGTTCCTGTTCATTTTTCTTGTATGCCAGCTCTTGTCTGTAATTTTACAATTAAGAGGTTGGTACATATGAGTCAATGGTCAGCTACATTTTAATTTGACTAATTACTGTGCCACCTAAATTGCATTCATCAAGGCAATTGTTGTTAATACAGTTCTGCGGTACGGTTGTTATTCCTAAATTGTATGACTTTGCATTTGATGGTGTTTAGTGGTAAATAATATAGAAAAATGTTGATTAAGTTAGATAATAATTGTTAAAAAACCAGTTATTATTAACCACCGTAGAAAACAAAAGGGAGTTATAAATTTTAGTGTATATCTGTGTATTTGTGTGTCTGTCTCATATCATAGCTCCTGAATGGATAAACTGATTTTGATTAAGGTTTTTTTTTCGCGCGTCTTAATTGACAGTGTTGAAGATCTCTCATCAGCTCTTTTCGTTTTGGGGGTTTTTAAATCTTTTAATTTAAGTAATATGTGATAACATACTACCAATAGACATTAAATATTTTGGTAGGTGGGAACAGTTATAATTTCAAATCAGGATAAATAAATTTGAACCTGTTTTCATCCTGGTGGTAAAGTTTTTACATCATAGTCAATTTCTATCTATCACTTATCTATCTACACCTTGTTTTTTTTGCAATAACTTGGGTGCTAAATTTATATTAATTTGTGAAATCAGCATAAGCAATTCTTTTTACTTGAAATTAAGTAAATTGTCCTCAATTCAACTGTGTGGTATTATTTCTTTGTATGTATGTGATATCTTTGCAAGTTGTGAAGCAATTACAATGATTTTTTTAATATGCTAGTTAAATTTAAAGGAAAAACTCGCTAACGCCCAAGGGTAGAAAGTAGGGGATGAATTTTTTATGGTAACTATTAAGACAACACCACTGAGATCTGAACTCACTCCCTAAAATTGTTGGCAATATCAAAAGCCTGTTGAACTTCTTTAAGTAGATTTCATGGCTAAAAAAATCACAATATTCCTCGCCACAAGCAAAATATATGCTTAGACATGCTTATGCGGAAAATAGTCCATTGTAAGCTCAATTAAATTGAGATAACTTTATATTTTTTATTCGACAAAAGCATCAAAAACATTAAATTCAATGAATTTCCACATAATAGCTTCAGAAGCTAGGTATATAGGAAAATTTAAGTATGGACTTCGGAAGGTGTTATTTGGAAAATATTTTATCCTTGAAAGTCTGCTTTTGCTTTATAAAAGTTAAATCATAAATCCTTATTTGCAAGAATCTCTGTGTAAAATGATTTTACCATTTATCTAGTGCACTTGTGTTTCGCTAACAATGGTACATAGAATGCAAATACAGAATCGACAATATTAATTAATTACAACGATAAAAACATTCGGTTTTTAACCACCTAAGCAAATGTTTATTATATAATCTTACGCTTAATAGTTTAAATTCTTTAGGTAGTTTTTTTTATACATGAAATACATTATATACACGACAATAAATTTTTCTTTTAAGAAAATGAATGAATGATTACATCCCTTTAGCAATTCCTCCCATTGAGGATAAAACCTTTGTCTAGCCATGAACTTAAGGTGGCGAAATTTTTAGAAGTATTATAATAATTATAATGTTTTTTTACAGATGGTAGTTCGCTGGACGAACCACTCATAGTACAAACTAGCAACATGGGACAGCAGACATCACGAAAGAGTGAGTACATGTGCATTATTATGGAAGAGTGTGTGATGAAGAGGCTTGTCAAGTTATTTCCTAAAACTAAATTCGACTAAATTGACTACTACAAATTATGTTATATGTATATAGCTACAGCTACTAATAATGTTCTAAAGACTGAATTTCGGTCACGGCTGTCTATCTTTTTTTTTTTTTTTATAGGATAGGGTGACAAACGAGCACACAGTCCACCTGATGGTAAGTGGTTGCTGTGGCCCATAGACATCTACATCTATCCTCAATTACGAATCAAAATGCAGATGCGTTGTCACCCGTGAGGACTAAGATGGAATGCTTCGTTTCCAGTAAAAAGGGTCTCCGGTTCTCTACACCCACCATACGAAACACAGCAGCATTAAGCTACTATTTCACGCTGGTATTCTGTGAGAGCGTGGTCCTTCCCCGGTCGAGCCGACCCATTCGTGCTACAACTATACATCTAATATAACTGCAGCATGGCTCTACCACGTATAAATGCTCTGCGCAGATGTCTAATCTCAACGGAGACTAGCCATCTACGCAGGACTGTATTATAGTGCACGAGAGTGTACGCTAACAGGTGCACTCTCTATTCACTCACTCTCAAAGTTAGATGGGATGATAATCCGGTCGTGTCAGATTCATCCGATTCAAGCAGGGAGATCAGGCGCATGATCAGTGGCTTTACGTGCTTTCCGAGGCACGGGGGTGAAACATCGCCTACGTCTTGAGTCTGGGTTGCTACTGAGAATTTCTTAACAGAAAGACACAACTGGTTTTGGCCACACCCTTGATTCTAACCTGGGATCTCACAATTAGCAATTGCGTTTACTATCACTTGACAAACGTAGCAGTCACAGCACACAGTTTCCTTTCGTTGTTGCGAGGGTTAGGTATATAGCAATTAGTCCACCGCGTTTCTCCAGTGTATGTTGGCAGACTTCACATGTCTTCCAAATATTCTTACGTTATTCGTCTCGTATCGTCGTATTACGTGTTATTATTTAAAAAAAAATAATGTGGTAATTTTCATTGTATGATGCCTCCGTAACTCCGTGGCATAGCAATGAGTTGCGACGCTTAGGGCCGCGGGTTTAATTCCTTCATGGTACAAGTATTTGTGTGACCTACAAATTATTGTTCTGGCTTTAAATGTTTGTCCTTGTGCAATTAATGTTTTTGAAATGCTTGTATGATACAGAAGAAAATCATAGTGTATCGTTTAAAAAAAACTTTGCCGTTCATTAATACTTACTTAACTGTGTAGTGGCGGTGTAAGAATATCCACTACCTCGTATCTTCTCACAGATATAGTAAGAGGCGACAGTAGGAAAAAAACAGGAGATAGGCAGCAGAATTTTCCTAATAACAGCAAACATACTATAAAGACACTGTGGTTGCCAACCCACTTGCCAAGCATGACAACTTTGGCAATGTATCCCCCATCCTACAAACAACCAGACCCCAGGAACAATTATTTGTACGTAATACAAATACTAGAGCTGTGGTAGCTCAGATGCTTAGCGCTCACTGTAAATTTCCCAAAACGCGAGCAAACCAAGTTCGATCCCCGCCAGTACTAATGAAATTGTTAATTGCAATTTTAAGTGCTGATTTACCACGTGCTCGGCGGTGAAGGAAAACATCGTGAGGAAACCTGCATGTCTGATAAATAAGAAAAAAAAATATTTCGTAGACATGTGAAGCTCGCCAACACGCATTGGGGCAGCGCGACGGACACTTCCTTGCCCTAAAACCCTCTCAGAAATGAGAGGAGGCCTGTGCCCAGCAGTGGGACGTATATAGGCTGTAACTTTACTTTACTTACTTTAATACAAATACTTATTTCGTGCGGGATTCGAACCCGCGGGCCTCAGCGCTGCAACTCTATGCTAAGCCACTGCGCCATGGAGCCGTCAACAACCTTATGGTTAGTCCAATTTAGCAGATAATTTGTCTTCTCTTTTGTCACGAAAGTGAGTAAGATCAGTTGTGAAAATAGCCTCGTATACCCGCCAGTGGTACCGCGTGTATAATAACTAGGGACGGGCCGAATATGGATTTCACTGAATACGAATATTCGGCCGAATGTTCGGTAAAACTTTTACCGAACCGAATATTCAGCCGAACAATATTCGGCAGGATAACATCGGGAACCAGCCAATTTATGTCGAAACTGGTTACCGAAAAAGCGCGCGGGATTAGCGACTGACCCTACCTCTCGCTCCCCGCCACACCTGACAGTTATTGCATCATCTAGTACTGAGCAAATTGCCGGCACATGCTTATGTTTTGACTATTCTTGTGATAAAAAAAGTATTTCGTTCTTTTATTGTTTGTGAAAATTGATAATTATATGATAAAAATGAGCGGCAGGAGATTTACTATTTAGACTTATTTTAGAGAAACTGATGATCAAAGTAAAGTGAAATGTACTAATGTAATGTAATGTTTCTTTGTTTGATTCCAAAAACATTTTATAAAGTTTCTATTTGCTATAATCGGAAATAAATCTACAGTGCCTCAAAAACATAAATATAAGTATAGATTTATGCATTTGAGGCACTATAGAGTAAGTAGATTTAACCCATAAATAAAATATACTTTCTACAATAAAAGACATCGCATTACTCAATTCGTACATTTCAATACAGTGGACACTATAAAAACAAATGTTCGGTGGTTTAGCCGAATATTCGGCCGAATACTTCGGTAAAGCTGCTGAATATGCCGAATACCGAATATAAAACGAATATTCGGCCCATCTCTAATAATAACCCTTGCATACATTTTTGTAGTAAAAAGAACATACAAATATGCATGTGAAATAGAATCGAATGCCTCCTGTATCCCCTTGTATAATATGTAACTATCATTCTGTCTCAAACATAGATTTTATATTGCGATTTTATTACACTGTGAGCAATAACGTTATATACATTTAGATAGTAAATATGAACATACGAATATTCATATAATATTGTTACGCGCTCCAGTCAACGATACACTAGCGCCATCTAGTGTCAGGAACGAGAGCGAGGGGAGCATTGAGAAAATGACATCACAAATTACTCAACCGACAGCGCCTAGTCGAAACTCGAACGCTCGGTACCTTGCCCGTGTTTACTTGAACATTCTGGATATTTCTTTGCTAATTTAAATATATAGGCGCTGCAAGATGCGATCGAAGCAGTGTTGATTTGGGCGAAACAAGCGAAGCTTCGGAGTGGAATTAAGTGAATTAGTGTGTTTAAATTATTAGTGTTTTAACTTTAATTGTGTAAAGTAAATTAAAGTGTTAATTTAGGTAATTTTATCGGCAATTTTTATTGTCACGAACCGCAAGCTCGTAACAATTGGTGTCAGAAGTGGGATAAAATCATGCCGATTTTACCTAAGGAGGAAACGGAGGGTGTCCGTACCCGAAGTCAACGTCAGCAGGAGACGGACCAACGAAGATTTGGTGGTGCAACGCCGCAGACGTCGGAGGACCAGCCACCGGCTGCAGGCCCGTCGGTAGCTCCTACATCTGCAGCACCTGACTTAGGTGCTCTGATGGTGATGCTGCAGGAACAGGCTCGCCAGCAGGCGGAACAGGCACGCCGATTGGAAGAGCAGCTGCGGGGCGGACAGGATGAACAGGCCCGCCGACAAGAGGAACAGGCCCGTCGGTTGGAAGAGCAGATGCTTCTCATGAAGGACCTTCACGCTACCTTCGGGAAAGAGATAAGGGAGGTGAAGGATAGGGTTGCTCAGCATGACAACCGCCTGTCGGAAGCTGAAACCCAAATCGCGAAAGCTGAAACCCGAATCGACCAAGTGAACAATCGGGTTGACAACGTAATGGCTGACATGAAGAAATCACTGGACGAACTCAAACTTGGAGATGGAGCTACAGCTCCCGTAGTAGCTACAACACCTTCGCTACGTGGGTTCAAGGTGCCACCGTTCAACGGTACCTCTTCCTGGTTAGCCTACAAAATTCAGTTCGAGGCTGTTATGAAGGCGAACGGCTGGAATAAAAGTCAGGCCATGACTGCTCTCACACTAGGCCTGCGCGACCAGGCCCTAACAGTTCTGGAAGCTCTCGGCGAGGAAGTGACTTATGAGCAACTCCTTGAGGCATTGGAGGCGAGGTATGGCGACGCTCACCTGGAACACGTCTTTCGTGCGCAGCTTAAAGATCGCTTGCAGCGCATCAACGAAAACCTGCAGCAGTGGGCTCTAGAGGTGGAGAAGCTGGTGCGAAAAGCATACCGGTCTGTACCTGCGCTCATTGAAGGGAACCTGGTGCAGACATTCATCGACGGCATCCGCGACCTGGAAGTCAGAGCTGCTGTGAGGCTCGGGCACCACGAGACGCTTAAGAACGCCTTGGCCCATGCACTGGAGGTAGAAGCCGTGCGGCAGGATCATCGTTCCCATCGCGTCAGGGAGGTTGCAGCAGCTACAGTTCGCGACCGCAACAAAGGATACAGCCCTAGGTGCTATGGCTGTGGGGAAAAGGGCCATCTTCGATCCAGCTGCCCTAAACGAACCGTGGAAAGGAGAGTTGATCGATCTCGAGAGGGTAGTGCAGCTAACGGCACTGCCTGGCGGCGACAGGATCATCGTTCACCTCACGCTAGGGAGGTTACAGCAGTTACGGTTCGCGACCACAATAAAAGATACAGCCCTAGGTGCTATGGCTGTGGGGAAAGGGGCCATCTTCGGTCCAGCTGCCCTAAGCACACCCTAGGAAGGGAAGGGGAACGGTCTCAGAAAGGAAGTGCGGCTAACAGCACCGCCCAGCAGCAGCAGGAATACGACTTTACTATCAGACACTGCAGCGGGAAATCTCACGGCAACGCAGATGCATTGTCAAGAAGACCTTGTCCTGAAGATTGCAACCATTGTAGTAGGCAAAAGAGTAAGGAGGTGGTATCCATGAGGATGCTCAGGACGGACCACCTCAGCAACGAATGGAAGGACAACCTACGACATGCACAGCAGGAAGATCCAGACATCAAGCCGATTCTGGGATGGATGAAGGCCCGTGCTACCAAGCCTAAGTGGAGGGACGTCTCAGCGATGAGTTCAACCACGAAAAGCTATTGGGCCCAATGGGACAGCTTGCTGATTCAGGATGGAGTCCTGTGCCGTAAATGGGACAATGGTCGAAGAGACAGCTGTCGTTTGCAAATGGTTGTCCCTAAAGCTAAAGTGTCGAATGTTCTGCAGTTGTGCCATAATGGTCGTTCAAGAGTTCATCTGGGAGTTAAACGAACTCTACTGAAGGTCCGAGAACAGTTTTATTGGGTCCATTATCGTGACGATGTCGAGGATTGGTGTCGTACATGTACAAGTTGTGCGGCCGAGCGGGGACCTCTGACACGTAGTAGAGGAGCACCGAAATTGTACAATGTTGGTGCACAACGGGATAGGACAGCCCTTGACATTGCGGAGCCGTTACAGAAAGGCGCAAGAGGGACTCCTAAGATCGTCCATGTGAATCGCTTGGCGCGTTATTATGGGGCCGATAATGCTCGGGACGAGCATGTCTTAGGAGGGGGCAGTGTTACGCGCTCCAGTCAACGATACATTAGCGCCATCTAGTGTCAGGAACGAGAGCGAGGGGAGCATTGAGAAAATGACATCACAAATTACTCAACCGACAGCGCCTAGTCGAAACTCGAACGCTCGGTACCTTGCCCGTGTTTACTTGAACATTCTGGATATTTCTTTGCTAATTTAAATATATAGGCGCTGCAAGATGCGATCGAAGCAGTGTTGATTTGGGCGAAACAAGCGAAGCTTCGGAGTGGAATTAAGTGAATTAGTGTGTTTAAATTATTAGTGTTTTAACTTTAATTGTGTAAAGTAAATTAAAGTGTTAATTTAGGTAATTTTATCGGCAATTTTTATTGTCACGAACCGCAAGCTCGTAACAATATATTATGTTATCATAGCTGTAGCGTGGCTCTTTGACTTAAGGGGAAATTTAACCTCAAATGGCTTAGCAAGATCCTCCGTTATGCCGAAAATATTGCAGCATTAATTTTGAAATAAATATATGGTAAAGTTGAGGATTAATGTTAAGGACTATGTTAGACGAAAACACGATTCCGTAAAATTTTCTCGATAGAAAAAAAAATCCAAAGTTACCTCCAAAATAAACAATAAGCCGCTGTTATTCATAAAATACTCAATAAGATCATGAAACTTTGCATACTAACTGAACTAACTATAAAGCGGTGCCTATGTTATTTACTTTTTTTTAAATACCATTATTTTCACTGTAAAAAGAAATTACCTAAACTATCGGCATCTTGAAGCTTGATTCCTGCCGCCCGGTCAGTTTTGCTTCGGCCTTTGAAGGGGAAGCTTGTGTCGCTTACGATCACAATACACATTACGCAACAGGACGACGTAAAATTAAAATGGGAAATAACCGTAATAAAAATAAGAAGCGACTGGGTTGACGTTAAGAAACAGGCATAAATATGATAAACCTAATGAAATAAGTATTTAACAACCTATCTACTTACAGTATTAGTGACAAACATGTCGATACATAGCATAAGACGCGCGGGGAAGTGGGGGCGAAATTAAAATTTGAGCTGACTTACAATATCCCCTTAAGAAATACTTTTACTAATATTTTTCAGGTGGAGAGTGCACTTGTGGGTGTGGAGCGTGGGAGAGGCGCCGGTACACAGAGTCCCCGAGCAGTGTGCATCGGTACGTCAGTGCAGTCACCGACAGGTATGTTCCGCACATATACTATGCAAGTTATAATACCCCATTTATCCCCTCGGGAGTCGAATTTTTTAAAATTCTTTGTGGGTGTCTACTTTGAGAAATGAGTATATATGCCTAATTTTAAGTCAATCGGGCGTGTAGTTTTAGATCTTGTGATGAGGGTGTGAGTCAGTGGTATATACAATATGTAACGTAATTAACGCACACCCTCAGACACCCCAATTAGTATATTATGTTATAATAATAATACAGACACTGAATTTTTAGTTAAACATTTTTATGCACTGATTATTTATCAAACTAGTTATACTAATTCCGGAAGAATGTTGTGGTCACAGTACAAAGACTTTAACATGCTTGAAATAAAGTTCATTTTTCTTTATTTTTAATTAATAACAGTATTAGTAATAATACAAACAAAACTGCACTCTTAAAAGTCTTTATTGCCATTTCAGTTTGTTTTGACTGTACAGATTTAGTGTGACTGTAATTTACGTAGTTTTAATTATTTTCGGAATAAAAAATTTACCTATATTTTTTAGTGATAGGAATCGATTCAGTAAACGATTCTGAACAAACTACTTTCTGAAAGTGCGTTAATTATGTTACGTGTTGTATACTAGATGACCTTTTTTACTGTCTGGAAAAAAATAGGGTGTTACATGTGAATGGAGTAGAGGCCTATGGCACTGATATTTTACAAAAAATATAAAGATTTTATACATGCTAGAGCCATGCTGAAGTTATACCGGGTGGCCCATAAGTCCCTTGAAATGTAAAAAAAAAATAAAAAAAAAACTAATGACATTATGAAAAAGGTTTTTATTTTGTCATAATCCTTATAAAATGGGAATTATTTTTGAAAATTACATCATCTAAATGTAATCCGTTACGATCGCGGTACTCCTGTAAGCGACGTTTAAAATTATCCATCACTGCGCGGCAAGTAAGCTCTGTATATATATTTTCTTTCAGGACGTCAATTTCCGCGGGTTGGTTTCGTACACTTTAGTCTTAAGATAACCCCATAAGAAAAAGTCCATTGGGGTCAGATCTGGACTATGTGGTGACCAAGGAATATCTCCTCTTCGAGAGATCACTTTATTAGGGAAAAGTTGACGGACGACCGGCATAGCGACGTTATTGAAGCCTGGAAAATTCTGCAACTCTGGTGTAAAAAAAGTCCTGAATCATAGCTACATACCGTGAAGTAACAGTAAGCGCGCGGCCTCTGCCGTCTTCAAAAAAGTAAGGGCCTATAATGCCATGCGCTGACATAGCCGCCCAAACTGTCACTTTAGGGCTATGTATCGTATTCGCTTTTGATGTTTGCGATTTGGATTTTCGCAACTCCAGTAGCGACAATTTTGCTTATTAACTTGGCCGTTGATGTGAAAGTGAGCCTCATCAGAGAATAACACGTTATTAAACGAAGTAAAGCGGTTCAACATTTCATTTGCGAAATTTAGTCTGTAGATAGTGTCAGTATCTTTTAATTCCTGTACTATGTGAATCTTGTACGGGTGAAGATGTAAATCTTTCTTTAAAATTCGCTGTAACGATGTTTTGGGTAAGTTTAATGCACTGGAACGCTTACGAGTAGACTGGGTAGGATTTTCACGAATTGAGTGTTTCACTACATCGATGTTTTCTTCCGTCCGTGATGTCCTTGGTCGACCTGACCGTTGTTTATCCAACGTCGAACCACTCTCTTCGAACTTAATAACCCAGTTCTTAATCGTTTGAACACTTGGAATGTCTTTAAAGTTGCGTAAATTCTGATATTCTCGAAATTTACGCCGCGCAATGGTAGCCGAATCATTGTTTCGATAAAACTCGCGCACACAAAATGCACGGTCCGCACCGGTGAAACGCTCCATGGCGACTGAATTCCCAGAAACCGTCGGTACTCCCCCCGCACCGCGCGCGCCACTCATGCGCGCCTTTTGTATTTTATTCGAAATTTACATTTCTAATGACTTATGGGCCACCTTGTATTATTAGTATTATAGTTGTAGCATGAATGGGTCGGATCGACCGGGGAAGGACCACACCCCCACAGAATACCAGCGTAAAAATGTAGCTTATTGCTGCTGTGTTTCGTATGGTGAGTGTAGAGATCCGGAGACCCTTTTTACTGGAAACAAGGCATTCCATCTTAGTTCTCACGGGTGACAACGCATCTGCATTTTGATTAATCGAGGATACATGTAGGTGTCTATAGGTCACAGCTACCGGTGGACTGTGTGCTAGTTTGTCACCGTATTGTATAAAAAAAATTAATTAAATAAATAATTAAAATCTATTGAAATCAAATCCACCCCAGCCTGTGACCCTGCAAAGTGACAAGATGCCTACTAAATTTATTGGTTTATTGCCATTCGTAAATTAGGGTCGATATGATTTGAATTTCGGTGGATTTTAATTAATTTATTTATTTAATTTAAAATGTTTGTTTTTAATTTTTGGAAAAACAAAGGCTTATCTCATAATTGGAGATATTAACCACTGGTGCCCGCGTGGCAAGCGGTTTACGAACTATTTGGCATTCCTTAGGGAATGCATAGGTTCATCATTGGACTTGTGAAGGGGCTGTAAAGATGATGATTTTTATAAAATTAGGCTCAATTTACATTGCGGTGGAATGGAATAAACGGAAGCGTCAATTTAACCCGTCATGGGGGAGACGAATTTCAACTTGGGCTATACGACAGTCGCCTTGGGGTTGTAGAATAGTTAGTCTAGATTCCACGCCCTTCTCGCCATTTCCCGCGAATTCCACAGACTTTGCCGACAGTACCTACAGAAATCCTCGAGAATTCCCCAGAAGACGCGCGACTTCTTTTTTGGCTCATATCTAGTTTGCGCGTTACACAATTAACTTAAGACTCATTTTACTATGTACAATTTCGTTACCAAAATTCGCATCCATTCTGTTCCGCAGCAGTTTAAATAGAGCCTAAGTGTGATAAACAAGCACACAATCCACTTGTCGGTAAGTGGATGCTGTGATCCATAGACATCTATATTAATCTTCGATTGAGGATCAAAAAGGGCTGATGCAGAGTGGAGGTGGTTCTTCCCCACTTGAACCAACCCATTTGTGCACGAATCATAATATAGCTGCAGCGAGACTCTTATGTTGATAGAAATATTTATTAATATATTTTGCTTTTTCAGATGGAGTGCCAGAGACTGTGCATGTAGGCGAAGACGTTGGCGACGTCCAGCCTGCGTTTGTACTGCATACCGACGCGTCAGTGACGATAGGTGGGTCTAAATGTAGTCGCCCCAAGTCGCATACCGCATGTGATGTCAGAGATACAGAAATACTCCATAATGTCTTGTGAAAATCGAAAAATATAAATTATATGTGAGAATTTCTTATTTCCAACTTAACGTTACGTTAATAATAATAATATCTATTGTTACGACTTGAATGTTTCGCAAAGTGCTTTGTGGGTGCTTTTGGGAACCAGAGAACAACCAGACCAAGGGCTGGCTAACCCGATAATCCCAACTGGGAAGTAAACGAAAATAGCTTTAGAACTGGGTAGATAAGGCAAGGATACTCACAAGACTGGAGCACTCCTCATGGTTGTGATGAAGTTTAAATATTTATGCTGAAGTTCTAGTGTATACACATACACCCCAATGCAGTTCGAATGTATATGGACATGAGCAATTGCACGATAGTCGTACAATTTTATATATTGAGTAATTTTTAACGAGCGGTAACAAACACGGCTTATGCGTACGCGGCCACCTTGCTTCTTATTTTTCTTGACAGTTATAAGTGGCGCACTATTCTTGAGTAGTGCTTATATAGGAAAGGCGGGAGGATAGAAAATACTTAGGAAAAGGATATTTTATAGGAACTGTTCCGAAGCCACAACACCTATAATAAAATCTTACTTTTGGTTAGGTCTATTTACATATCGTCCGGTGGTGATTATGGTATCAAGAAGAGAGGAATTCTAATATCGCATTTATTTCATATTTCAGACTGGCAGCTGTCCTCACACTGGGAAGGGATCTAAGAAGAGAATTAGATGCCATTGTCATAAACACAGGTTGGTGGACTTTTAAAATGAATTTAGTATATGTTTTAGGACAACTTAGTTGTGGTGTAAGAACATACACTACTACCCGTATCGTCCAGGGTGTCGTAAGAAGCGATAGAAGGAGACTGAAACAGGAGGACAACAGCATCTTCCAAAAAAAAAAAAACTCAAAATAATAAAACCTGCGTTTTTTTATAGAATAAGGGTGACAAACGATAACTAGCACATAGTCCACCTGGCGGTAAGTGAGTACTGTCGCCCATGGACATCTACATTTTTCCTCGATTACGAATCTAAACGCAGATGCGACCCCTGAGGACTAAGGTGGAATGCCTCGTTTCCAGTAAAAAAGGGTCTCCGAATCTCTACACTCAACACATGAATTCATGCATTCAGTGAGAGCATGGTCATTCCACGGTTAAGCCGACCCATTCATGCTACAACCATAATATAGCTGCAGCGTGGCTCTAACACATATAAAGTTTCCCATCTGCCAATCGTGGCAATTATGGCAAAATAAAGCCATAGTGGCTAAGCTTGGCATGCCGGTTGGCAATTGCAGTTTTTTTATTTTTAGCAGTTATTAGGAAGAAGCTGCTGTAAATCTTCTGGTTTGTTGCAGATATGGGGTATTTGATATGGGATATCCTGATGATATGGGGTAGTAAAATCCTTTACACCACCACTACACAGTTCTATACGGTAGTTGGTTTTTAAATAAACAATAATGTCCTTGGTCTTCAAAACTCGTAAAAGTAGGGATGGGCAAGTAAAAAAAAATATCGACATACTAGATGATTTTTTACCGTCTGGTAATAATAGGGCGTAACAGGTGAACAGAATAGAAGCCTGTGGCCCTGATATTTTACTACTTTTATTTTTATTTAATTTAACATATCATGAAATTGATCTTCTACCAACAAATCTACTAATTGGGTACATATTATTTTAATTACGATAGTGTTTAATTGATTTATTTATTTAGTTCAAAAAGGACAATGGCGAAAAATTATGTGATGGAATTATTAAGCGTCTACTTATCCCAATCTAAGTCTGGAAAAAAAATCATCATACATAATTCAAAACTTAATTGACTAATGACTAGTTCTTGTTGTTACGATTCGTCAGTTAATACAGGCAAAGGTCTTATACTATACAGTCGAGTTTGACGTGTACTTTATTCAGAAAACTTCTATGTATACTAATGCGTTCTTTATGGATTCCCTCTATGCTAGTAATTACCCTATATAAACATATATGAAAATTACGTTGACTAGTTGTTGTAACGATTTGCGAATTAAGGCGTTTTATAGCATACAGCCTAGTCTGATGTGTATTTTGTTTAAATTGGAATATCTTTAATTCCTGACTTCCTGCAGTAGTATGACCGCAGAAAAAAATGTTCAGGATTTTAAACTCTATATTTTTACATATTTTGCATTTGTAGACGCAAGAAAAGAAGTCACATAAAATTTGTTTGGGAGTTCGCTATTGTCCGTTTGTTATTTTTTCAGTACTGAAAGTTTATTTCAAATTAGTAGAATTTATTGATAGATCAATTTCATATGTATGAAAAAAAAAATAAATATGCCATGACCACTGTTGTATGAGTAGAATAAGGCCTATGTTTTATTACTGTTGACAGCCATGAATGCTTTTGTTGCTTAATGTTTTGTCTATTAATACAACATTTTAAAATAAATTGATCGAATCTAAATTGATACGATTTCGATACTCTAAAATAAACATCGATATACCGCCAATAAAAATATGGTTGATATTTATAGATATTTTTTATGAGAACATTTCGATATATCGATATTTTTTACCCAACCCTACTTAAAAGTATCCGGACCAGGAATCGATCTGGGTATTTTGTCTGTTGTGAATGAGGTGGCTTATTGCTATAAATTTGGAAACATAAGATTTTTTAAGGTATTTCCCATCGTTGCTTAGAACAAAATAACCATGGGGCCAAAAGCATAGCAAAATTTGTATGCATTCATCATCATCATCATTACAGCCCTTCACAAGTCCACTGCTGAACATAGGCCTCCCCCAAGGTATGCCACAAAGCACGGCCTGAGCCACCTGAATCCATCGACTTCCTGCATGTCTTACCAGGTGGTCACTCCATCTAGTGGGGGGTCGCCCTACACCTCGCCTACCGGTACGAGGCTGCTACTCGAGAACCTTTTTTCCCCAACAGTTGTCGGTTCTTCGAGCTATATGGTCGGCCCATTACCACTTCAGCTTACTAATCCGTTGGGCTATGTCGGTCACTCTGGTTCTACTGCAGATATCCTCATTTCTAAGTTTATCACGCAGAGAAACTCCGAGCATAGCCCTCTCCATAGCTCGCTGAGCGACTGAGCGTCCTCATACGGCCAGCAGAGAAGGACGACGTCTTGGTTCCGTAGGTCATCAGTCACCACTGGCAACACGCACTGGTTGTACAACTTAGTTTTCAGGATTTGAGGTATACCTGACGAGAAGATGCATTGTAATTTGTTAGTTCATGCTAATCTCCGATCTGCTCAACTGGTTTTAATGAAATTTTGTAAATGTTACTTGTGAAGGGCTGTAATGATCATGGTTTCAAATTAATTTACTAATTACTATGAAAATTTATGAATTTATCTCTATATATAAAAATCAATTGCTTCCCTTAGACTTGCAAAACCTCAAAAATGGTTCTATTGATTTTGATGAATGTTTTAGGGTGTAATGAAATGAAATGAATGATTTTTATTCAATATAGATTATTGTATAATACTTATTGAAAGTATTTTTTTTAATTTACTACTGGTTTGGAAAGTCAGTCTTGGGCCAGCAAGAAACCCAGTGGAACTTTTTTTTAAACATATTTCAATTTACAATAAATTTATTTTGTACAATTTTTCTTTGATAAAACATTTAAACTGATTTAATGTGTATTTGTGTGGATGGTTTGAAAACTCAATTGGACGCGACAATTGTCCGATCGCTGTTTTGTTATAATTCTTTGTTGTAATAATTTTCATTATTTTATAAATGTTACAGATAGTGAATCGAGCAGGGATATTGGGGAACAAACCGCTGAGGTGTACGTCCTTTCCGTCGCTCCCAGAAAGTGAGTCATTTTATAATTTCTTCACATGGTAGAGCACACAGTCCATCTTTTTCTTCCTCGTCGCACAACTTCCTTGAGGAATCAACTACCATCAGAGATTTTTCCGGACCGAAAGTTTCATAAAGTTAAACTTTTAATAAAACGCAAAAGCCGACCTGAGAATGCTATATATATATATATATATATATTGGGGTATATATATATACCTTATAAGACCTTAAGACCTTATGGACCTTCAAGAAAAGAGCCTATTCCTTTTTCAATGGCCGGCAACGCATCTGCCATCCCCCTGGTGTTGCAGCTGTTCATGGGCGGCGGTAATCATTTACCATCAGGTGAGCCGTATGCTCGTTTGCCCTCTCTGCTATAAAAAAACCTGCTATGGTAAGTGGATGCTGTGGCCCATACACATCTACATTTATCCTCGATTAAAAATCAAAATATAGATGCGTTGTCATCCTTGAGGAGTAAGATGGAATGTCTCGTTTTTAATAAAAACCGATTCTGTACACTGACAATACGAAATACAGCAGCGTTAAGTTGTTATTTCACGCTGATAATCTGTGAGAATGTGGTTCTTCCCTGGTCAAACTGACCCGTTTGTGCTACAATCATATAGCTGCAGCGTGGCTCTACCATGTTAAAACGATATAATAACATTATTCCGTTTTGAAATAGCTTGTCTGTTTTTTTAGTACTTTAACCTTGATTGATTATAGAATAAAAATATTACAGTGAGGGGGAGACATCACAAGAGGGCAGGAGAAATGAGTTGACGCAAACAAATGATGGCTCTATACGGTTACATCCACACTTCCAGGTATGTTTTACTTGTAGTGCGTTTTATAATACTTCCTGGTAACATAAATAGTGTTATAAATATGTACAAAATATACAAAATTTGTCCACTGCCAAGTTCAAAAACTTTTTAACTGAAGATTGTATAAAAAAGGTTCTAGAGAAACGCTTAAAAATTTGAGATAAAGATAAAGATACATTTATTGCATAACTGTGTACAATATGATCTTAGTATAAAAACATATAGTTTTAGGCTTAACAGTTTATCCATGATTTTACAAAATTTACTACTTACTAACGTTAATTTTATTAAATTCATTAAGATTGTAAAAACATTTTCAATTAGTAATTTCTTTAATTTTGTTTTGAACATATTGTTACGCGCCGAAGTCGACGGCACTAGCGCCATCTAGTATCGAACAGAAGAACTAAGCTTCTGGAAGCTGACTCTCGAATTTTCGACGCTTTGTCGATCGGTGCGCGTATTTACTTGAATGTTCTGGATGATTCGGTACTAATGTGTATTTATAGGCGTTGCAAGGTGCGATCGAGGAAGTATTGAATTTGGCGAGACAAGCGAAGCTTCGGAGCGGAATAAAGTGAATCAGTGTGATTAATTATTGGTGTTTTAAGTTTTAATTTGTGTAAAGAAAATTAAAGTGTTAATTTAGGTAATTCTATCGGCAATTTTTATTGTCACGAACTTCAAGCTCGTAACAATATTGCCATATTAGGCTTAGCAAGAATTTTTTCAAATAATAAACAAACATAAGGTATACAGATGTGTTACCTCACTCAGAAAGTTTTAATGAAAATATTCATTCATTGCATGTGTGCAAAGTACACACAGAACAAAACCAACAAACATTTGTTTTGGATTTTATTGCTATGAGTTTGGGCAATTCCAAGTAAGTAGTCATTACACTGTACTGACTTCGATTTAGTCTGTTTTTTTGAAATTCGAGTTACAGAGTATACATATTATGTACTGTGAATACTTCATAGGGAAACATTGAGCTATTATGTACTACGTACTAGAGGAGACACTGCATTCTGCTACTCTGTTCCACTCAACTGCGGTGCATACACCGCACTTTAATCAGTCACTCGCTAGGCGCTTGTAGAGTTGTCACGTGTCGTGTTGATTTAAAAAAAAAAACTTGATAAAAATATGCCGTCTTGTGTACTTAGATATTGCACAAATAATTCAAGAAATGTCATTAAAAACCAAGGTATTACTTTTCATCGGTTAATAAGATACTTAATCAATAAAAAAAGTATTATAAATTAATAATAAAACAAATTATTCCTAAGACGCCATCTCGTATCATGGAATATAGATTATGAAATTAATATGTTCAAATGTGACATTTCTGTGGGTACTTAAGTATAGGACGAATATATTATACACATTTTTTTGTAGAAACGTATATAAGTTATTATAATTAGGCTAAATTTTTCATGTTTAAATCTGCTTATTATTCTTTTATTTTATTTCTAGGTTTCCACTTCAAAGTCAAAGTGGAATAAATTCGTCCATTTTTAACTCTCGCGTGCCCAGCATTTATGAACAATTATTTACAGCATTTATGATTCTATTTTAAATAAATATATTTTTAATTTAAATTTTATGTTAATAAGTTTTGTTAAACATACATTTAGTATGTTTTTTTTATATTTGACATAGATACCTTTTAAAATATTCGGATAAAAATATCATTAAAATGTAATTGTGATATAATATTATGTAATATTATATTAAATAAGCAAATATAATATACAAAATTTAAATATTGTTCTCGATAAATAGCTAACACTCGCTGCCAAATGGTGACTGAAAATCGTGATTTAAATATTGTTATTTGAAAATACTCAATATAATTCTGGTAGCTCCGTATCGCCGGGCCCCCCCCGGGGCGAGGTTAACAATACAATCTACTATTATCTACGGATCATTCTACCTATGTTTATTCTATGATAAAAAAAAACTAAACGCTCCAACACAGAGTAGCGCACGTTTTTTGTTTGAGATAGCTGTTCTAGTACATAAGTACATATTACTTCAATGTAGGGAAATAACATTTTATTCAAGTTACAAAGTGTAAATTATTTTTGGTACCGCGTATTAAAGGATTTAGTGGAAGGGAATAGCACATTTTTTCATTTTACTGGGGATTACAACTTAACGAGGTTTGAGTTATCGAGATTATTCTACGCAAAGAATGTAAGGATGATAATAATCCTTGGAAATGAGGTGACTGCTACTCATCATCGATAGATGGGAGAACATCATTCAATGAGACAACACAGTTGCAGAGTGATTCCCACCGGAGTTACTCAATTGCAGCATGGCTTGGTATGCCGGTCATATTTTGCAATGCTTGTACAGATATAAACCCCTGATGCAAACAGAGGTGTTTTATATCTTTAACAAATGTGTCTGTGTGTCTGTTTGTGGCATCGTAGATCCCAAATGGATAAATGGATTTAGATTTAGTTGTTTTTGTTTGAAAGGTGATTTGATAGGAGACTGTTCTTAGCTATGATTCAAGAACATCTTTTCAGACGTTTGATGATCTTCACCTCTTTTTGTTTGATGGTTTTTAAATATTCAATTTGTTATTTTTCGACCAAATTGGCGATATATTTAAGATCGAAATTAAGAGTACCCTCAACCGACGAGTGTAAAGGAGGCGAGAGAGGTGTGTCAGGATCGTGCCAAGTCTATTCTCTGTCTACCTCTACCTATATTAGTTAGTAGTAGAATACACTGCGGTGCTATGCAATGTATACAATGTACTAGTAATTTGCTGACAATAAGAACTGTAGCGTATAGACATTTATAGTGGTGTATAACTCTGTCGTCTCGAGAAGCGCGCGCGCGGAATCGCGGGGCGGGGCGGCACGGCCCGACCGACCGCCGCAGGGAGAAGACGTGGACGCTTACTACGAGCCGATATCAGTGTATAAATTATTATATTATTAATAGTGTTACTTGTAATATATACTAATTACAATAGTGTTACTTGTTCTTTCTAAATATTGATCCCTGGGATCTACTGTAGATCAGTACATTACAAGAACATTAGTGTTCAATGTGAGAAAAGTTAATATGCAACATCTAGAAAAATTAAGATTATAACAATGTGAACATCTTTGAAACTCAGATAATTTACTTACTTACTATTTTCTGTTTTACATTTTTTTTGCATATTTACAAACATGCGCCGTCGTACAAATGTAATGTCGTACATTTTGGTTTTATCCGTGGCTATACTTGAATAAAAACTCAAAAATAAATATCAAGTGTCTTAAGTACTTATAAGAGAAAAATACTTTTTTGTTAACGTAATGTGCGCGTCAGTTCGAGCGCGCGAGTGACAACCGCGATGTGGCCGCGCAGCGTAGGTATATTTTTATGCCTACAGCGCGGAGTGACAGATTTTTATACAAGATTATTCTTTAATAACCGGTCAAATGTGCAGAGATGGTTAAATTAGGTAATTATAAAAAAGACTTGAACATTTTGTTCCTATTTTTTAAATTCAAAATGCGTGGTAATGCATTATTTTAAATGATTACATTGCACACGCACACGTTCGTAAATATATCATTATTTATATATTTTAAGTTTAAAATTTAGGTACTCTTTGAAAAGGAACCCTTTATATAGAGATTAACAAGCGTTACATATAAAAACTACTCGTTAGAAACAGGTGTGAGTGTTTTATTTTAATATGTAATGTTTATTGACGGAATGTGTGTATTATTGTAGAATATGCGTGTTTGTGTGCAGGTGGTGTGCGGGGGAGAGCTGCGTGCGTTACTACTGCGTGCGCCCGCCGCGCCGCCGCACGGGCACGCGGCCCACGCTGCCCACGTTGCCCACGCTGCCCACGCTCCACACACGCCAACCGCCAAAGTGCATACACAGGTAATTACAACTTGCTTTATTTATTTATTTAGGACAACCAACAAGACATACACGAGCCACTACTATAGGAAAGCTTCAGCATTACCAGAGATTGGCTTGTATGGCTGCCACAGGTTACATAAGGACTACACCAACAGCAGCTTTGGAGGCTAAGCTGGAGCTAACACCGCTTCATCTACTTATACAACAAGAAGCAACTTTAGCTTTACTCAAGACCCTAAATCTTTTAAGTAAGAGTAGAGTCCCCCATACAGATATAATCGATAGAATTAATTCAAAAATTCCTATCTTACAACCCAAGTATGATAGGATCCCAAAACAATTTGTATTCGATAAGAAGTACAGGATACAATTGATTTATTTTTATTTTTCTACTTTTAGGAATATCTGTAGTTTTGTTTATTCATTCAACCAATAATATAACTATAACTAATATCACAGAGACGAACATTAACCTTTACATTTTACTATCAAATTAATCATCCCAGTATGAAATCTGTTAAATGTTCCACCTCAATGCATAGTGGTGCCGCCCTGGTGGCAGGAATGTTCGTAGACACCCTCATTAACATTTGCTACCGAAGGTACTTGTTAGGTTGTATAGCTCTATATACCATGTAAATCAAAGAAATGTGGCAGTAATAGATAAGAGTAAAGGAGGACAATTCTCCCCTTTAAGGAAATCTTTGAGGGAAGCCTACGTTCACCACTTTTACAAGCTTTAATGGATGTGGATATATCTTTCAAACCAAAACAGCTGTGGATACTAGGGTGGTAGAAATAAATAAGAGCTGCGATGGCAATTTTTTTCCCTTTTTGTTAAGAGATTAAGGATCATAAATGAGCACACATTCCACCTGGTGGTAAGTGGATGCTGAGGCTCATAGACATCTACGTTTATCCTCGATATAAGAATCAAATGCAGATGCGTCGTCAATCCTGAGAACTTCGATATTCTATTGTAGTTCTCATGAGCCTCGTTTGTGTTAAATGAGGTCTTCGGTTTTCTATACTCACCACAGACATATGTATGCTGTCATCCATAAACATCTACATCCATCTTCGATTAAGGATTAAAAAGCAGATGTGTTGTCACCCTTGAGGACGAAGATGAAATTCTCATTCATCATTCAGTACATCTGGTATTATGTGAGAGCGTGATCATACCCCAGTTGAGCTGACCCATTAATGTTATAACCATAATATAGGTTCAGCATGGCTGTATACCATAATAGATTGCAAGCAAGCAAGATTGGGAGCAAAAGTATAATATAATTCTTCAAGTTTCATATTTCATTTCACAGGTGGACTATATCCACTGTTTAGTGCCAGACCTCCAGGAGATAACAGCCTGCGCCTACTACTGGGGCAAGATGGACCGATATGAGGCCGAGCGGTTGCTGGACAACAAGCCTGAAGGTTAACATACTTAAACATTATACTGACACTAGGGATTTCTATGTATCATGGAAACATTTTGCTAGATCCAGAGAAATTATTATAGTTTAGGTTATAGGCACTGACCTCTACATATACAAGTACGCTATACTCCGTCACATGATGAGGCGATTTGATTTGCGCCATTTTGGCGCTGACAGCAGAAGTGCACGTCCACGGAGCTAATAATAAGGATAAGACAGTGTGACAAAATATATCGATAAAAATTCTATACCTTACCTATACTTGAATAAATGGAATGGACTCTATGGATAGATCACTGACCTCTATATATACAAGTACGCTGGACTGGCTATACACCGTGACATGATGAAGCGATTTGATTTCCGCCATTTTGGCGCTGACATCAGAAGTGCAAGTCCACGGAACTAATACTCGGGATAAGACAGTGTACAAAATTATAACGATAAAAATTCTATACCCTACCTATACCTAAATAAATAGAATGGACTCTATGGATAGATGGACTCTACCCGTAACGTCCATTCTATTTATGTATCATATTTATATAATGCCATTATCATTCATCATCATTAAAACCCTTCGCAAATCCATTGCTGAACATAGGCCTCCCCCAAGGAATGCCACAAAGCACAGTTTTGAGCTACCCGCATCCATCAACTTCCTGCATGTCTTACCAGGTTTCGACTCCATCTAGTGGGGGAACGTCCTACACTTCACCTGCCAGTATAAGGCTGCCACTCGAGAACCTTTTTTCTCCATCGATATTCCAGAGCCGATCATTGCCACTTCAGCTTACTATCCATTGGGCAATGTCGGTCACTGTAATTCTGCAGCAGATATCGTTATTCCTAAGTTTCAACCCCTGAGCATAGCCTTCTTCATAGCTCGTTGAGCAACTTCGAGCTTCCTCATACGGCCAGCAGTGAAGGACCTCGTCTCAGATCCATATTTCATCACTCGCAACACCCAATTGGATGTACAATCTAGTTTTCGGGTATTCCTGGCGAGAAGATGTGTTGTAATCTCCTGAACGCTGCCCAACCGAGTTGAATCCGTCGATTGACCTCGTCAATTCCGATGCGTACCTACCAATAGTCGGACTATTTGTCCCAATAAAAATACTCATCAACAACTTCAGCTAAGTGTTCCCAAAAACCCCGGCCGCCCCAACACCGGCATAGGTGTGACACGGACATTACACATGACTTTTGTTTTGTCCATGTTCATCTTAAGACCTATCCGTTGGGAGACACTATTGAGGTCATTGAACATAGTGCGTAGGTCCTCCAGCGATTGTGCCATAAGGACTATATTGTCGGCAAATCGAAGGTGAGTGACGTACACGACATTGACGTTAATACCGTATCCTTTCCAGTCCAGTAGCTTGAAAACGTCTTCCAATGCAGCGGTGCAGAGTTTCGGGGATATAACGTCACCCTGTCTTACACATCTCTACAGTTGGATTAGTTTTGTACTCTGGTTCTGTACTCGGATAGCAATCATAATCCTTAACCATTCAACTAAAAAGTTATTAAGATTAAACTAAGTACACAAAATAAAAATAAAAACATAATTTCTAGAATAATTTATTGTCAACCGTTCATTTTGTTTTAGTATTATAAAAAACAAATCAGCTGCTATAATAACGCCTATTCTAAACAACTACAGGTCTGTCTATTGACAGTAAAATATTTTCTACTATATAAAAATTTATGTTTGTTCGTACTTTCTACGATGCCATACCGTTTATCAGATTGCGGTAAAACTTAGTCAACTTATTGGTTGCACTTGTGCGAAGGTCATACGCGTGGTACAATTAACTGACACTAGGTGGCGTGCGTATTATCCTGACTATTTAGTTGAAAGTTATATATCATTCTATTTCAATGATTGTATTATCATTCCTAATTATACAATATAACTGTTCCACATTTTTAACGATATTTCCACAATTATTTCTTCTGTGGCAGCAATGCACCGGGTATTATTAGCTAGCAAGATAATATAAAAAAATTGAAACTTTAAATTTTAATTTCAGAATTACGAACATCTAGTAGTTATCAGTTATTTACGTCATTCTCGAAATTAAAATTACAATATTGAAATAAAAAATAACTAGAAATTATCAATTACCGAACCCGATATGTGAATGGAGCCAAGGAAAAACGAGCACTTGGAAGCATCAAGTGGTGCAGCCTCACCAAAGTCGCGAAAAACAGTCGAGTGGCGCATCGCCAATCGCCATACCAACACTCCTCTTCCAGCGATACAGAGAGAGGAATCTCCTCTAGCCGCAGCCCACTAACACACATCCAACGTGGCTCGACATCATCAGGCGACCTTTCGACACTTGGCTATGGCCCTTGAGTTTAGTGGAAAATGAGGAAAGAAGAAATAAAAAAAAAATATTCGAAATAATAATCTAATACTTAGTACTTAGTAGTTGGTAGTGCTTAGTGCTGGTACTACCAAAAATATTGTCGGTATACTGCACTTTTTTAAAGTGGTGTAGTTCTCATGTCTAATAAAACAGTCGTCTGTGAAATGTTTGGAACAAATATGATCATTTTGTTTCGGACGCCAATTCACAATATTTATGATTTTAAGCCAGTTGGAAACCTGTTAATTAATAAACATTTGATAACCATCTGTTGTTGGTGACTTTGTTTGTTAACAGATATGGGTAGGAAAGAACATCGATAAGTATTATAGACAAGGAACTCGACAACCCTATTGAATTTTATTGTTTATCAAAACTCCGTAATATACAGCCAAACATGTTGGTATATATGATATTAAGATTAGTAACAAATTTCTAAGTACTTATATTATCAAATAGTTTTAATTTGTCTAATATTTACTGCAAATTCACTTACTTGTGAAATGTTATACCACTTCCCTTTTGGTAATGAGTTTTACAGATTACGCACCCTCTCATTAATAATAAAAATAATTCTTATTTTGTAACTAATATTATACACAATCAAACAACATAAAATACTTTAGTTTTTTAGTTTAAAAGTTCAAAATATAGACTTATTAAATATGACAATATGAATATGACAACATACTTTGGCATATTATGTCAATTTTATTTTTCGAGACATCCTTTAGTGGCGCTTCAAATTGGCACGGTCATTTTGTATGGTATAGCCAGTCCAGCGTACTTGTATATATAGAGGTCAGTGGGATAGATGGACTCTACCCGTATCGTCCATTCCCTATATGTATCATATTAATATAATGCTATTATCATTCATCATCATTAAAGCCCTGCACGGGTCCACTGCTGAACATAGGCCTCCCCCAAGGAATGCCACAAAGCACGGTCCTGAGCCACCTGCATCCATCAATTTCCTGCATGTGTCACTCCATCTAATAGGGGGACGTCCTACACTTCACCTGCCGGTGCGAGGCTGCCACTCGAGAACTTCTTCATTCACATTGGTTATCGGTTCTTCGGGCTATATGGCCAGCCCATTCGCGCATCAGCTTACTAATTCAGTGATTATCATGATGAAAAACCTCATCAAGTGGTGCAGCCTCACCAAAGGCGCGAAGGATAGTCGAGTGGCGCATCGCCAATCCCCATACCAACACTCCTCTTTCCTTACGACTCCACCTCGACTACAGCGGTACAGGGAAAGGGATCTCCTCTAGCCGCAGCCCACTACACACATAAAACGTAGCTTGACATCATCAATCGACCTTTCTACACTTGGCTATGGCCCTTGAGTTTCGGGGAAAATGAGAAGAAATAGAAAAACATTCGAAATAATATTCTAACACTTTTATGCTTACTGGTACTGGTACTACCAGAAAATATTGTCTTTTTCAAAGTACTACGGTTGTCATGTCTAATAAAACAGTCGTCTGTGAAATGTTTAGAACAAAGATGATCATTTTGTTTCAGACGTCAATTCACAATATTTATGCTATTAAGCCATAATTGTGGTCTAGTTTCAATTGGAAACCTGTCAATTAATAAACATTTGATAATGATATGTTGTTGGCGACTTTGTTTGTCAACCAACTCGACAACCCTATTTAAATTTTATTGTTTATCAAAAATCAGTAATATACAGCCAAACATGTTGGTAATTATGATATTAAGAGTAGTAACAAATTTTAAGTACATATATTATCAAATAGTTTTAATTTGATTAAGACTAAAAATTATTAATTTTCAAAAGTAGGAAGTTATAGATTTCGGTCCGTTTTGAAAATGCGAGTTTTCATCAGATCTCCACGTTTTGACGTTCTAGGAAGGCGTTCCGACTATTCCGGCTAGACGTCAGGCCGCGTGTGTGCGTGTATATATATGTAAATAAAATGTTGTCGTACGATATCTTTAGAACGATAATCAACCGATCGAGTTGGACGACACAGCGTTCGAAACTGTTCATTGAGACTTCGAGCTGATTAGATTTTATTTCAAGTCAATCAGTCGAGCTGTTTCAAAGATTTCCAAATAATAAAAATCAATTAGAATTTCGAGTGTTACGCTCGAAAATAAGCGAAAGTTCCTCGCTTATTTTGGACTTACGCTCGAAAATAAGGGATCGCCTGCAGGGTCAACCGATTTTCGGAGTTTTTTTGTTTGTGTTACACAGTACGTGTATTCAATTGTCAACCTATTTGGATGTTTTTTTTTAAATGAAACTGATTTTACGGGTTTTATCGCATTTCATTTTAACTTTTTAATACCCAACGTTGCGGATTTCATAGTTAACCATAGGTAATGTTTTATTAAAATAGGATTTAATTTTTCTCTTTTCAATAAACATTTTAAGCGGTCGGTTAATTTCAAATGTCATTTTAGCCATTGGGCTCCAGTATAGCGTGCAATTAAGAATATTGTATTAGTTCGAGGCATTATTTAAATTCAACTATATGACTTGCAGGCACATTCCTGCTCCGTGACTCGGCTCAAGAGGAGCACCTGTTCTCCGTATCGTTCCGCAAGTACGGCCGGTCTCTGCACGCGCGTATAGAACACTACCAGCACCGGTTCAGCTTCGACTCGCACGATCCGGCCGTCTTCGCTGCACCCACTGTCACCAGACTCATTGAGCACTATAAGGTAAGGAACAGTGTTTAAAAAAAATTTAATAGAAAAATTCTTCCACCAGCATGAGTGGTTGCTGTTTTTCATTTTATTTAATTTACTTCTTAATTTCTTTTTCTTTAAAAAAAATTACTCTGGGATGTTATCCTATATCATGGAGGCAGTTTATGTAAATAAATAGCACAAGAACAAATATTTTTATTATATAATAGGAACATGAATCGGTCGGCTTGACCGGGGAAGGACCACGCTCTTACAAAATACTAGCATAAAATGCTACTGTGTTTCGTATGGTGAGTGTAGAGATCCGGAGACCCTTTTTTACTGGAAACGAGGCATTTCATCTTAGTCCTCAGGGTTTACAACGGATCTGCGTTTTGATTCTTAATCGAGGATAAATGTAGATGTCTATGGGCCACAGCATCCACTTACCATTAGGTACATAATAAAGTGTTCTATATCCTTTATAGAAAAAAAATTATGGATATAATTGTTATAAAATACTGGTATGGCTAGAGACGGGGAGTATTAAAGCTAGCAAAATTGTTATGGTACTGCCTACGTTTGACCAGTTCCTTTAAATCCTGAGAAAATCCTTTATATACTAATAAAACAAAATAAACCCAAACCAACATACCAAATCTAATGGGCCAAAAATTTATATTAAACAACTGAAGGTAGCCGGGTTGACTATTGAGTATAAATAGACTAAGTAATATGTTTTTACTCTCCAGGACCCGGCCTGTGTGATGTTCTTCGAGCCCATGTTGACAGCACCGCTGCCCAGGACGGAACCTTTTTCCTTACAACAGCTTGCCCGTGCTGTCATTGTTTCACACACCAGTTATGATGGTGAGTCTAGTGTAGAGTTTAATCTTTTCTTGCTGATCGTATGAGAATGTTTAAGGTTGCTCAAGGAGCTATAATGAGGACTGTTATGAGGATATCCACAGTAGAAGCAAAGTAATCGATATATCCCAACGGATCAGTAAGCTGAAGTGACTTCAAAAAATGGAGTATGTACTCAATTCGACCGTATTTTTTTTGTATATTAATTAATATTAGTAACAATTATTTGGAATAGAATAGAATATTTTTTATTCAATATAGATTAAATGTAATTCTTATTGAAAGACATTTTTTATTTTACCACTGGTTCGAAAAAAACCTCTGTCCTGGGAAGAACCAGCAAGAAACCCAGTGGGACTATTTTTTTAAATAAATTTTACAATTACAGCTTGGAAGCGATCTCCTAATTCCCAGGGGTTATTATCAAGCATGTATTCATTTATATCACAATAACCCTTTTTATACAGTTTTTGTTTAATTAAATATTTTAAACTTGGTAATAGAGAGACCTTGTATATTTTCTGGACTTAATGACACAAAAGAAAAAAAAAATAGAAAAAAAAAAGACTTTGTTGTAATAGCGTATACATTGCCCCAAGAATGAATTACTGACTGGAGTCGAGAAACTGGTATCACTAGCTTGTGTTGATTCCTAGTGCTTACAGAGTGTATATCACTTTGTTTACTAAAACTACCTTTGTTTTTGTGAACATACATCAAATTTTCATAGATATACTAAGAGGCCAAAGTTAATGTGTTTATTTCTTTAAATTTTTCTCTAATAGACTCTGTTTAAGATTGTAAATAGCTGTTATGGCCCTCTTCTGCAAAACAAAAAATCAAAATTTCTAAATCAGCCGCATTCCCCCATAGTAAAATCCTATACGACATTATGCTATGGAAATAACTGAAATAAACTAATCTAGCTGTCTCAACACTAGTGAGGAGATCTCTAATTCTATTCTTTAAGGTTGTTTGAAGTCTGCTTTTACTTTAATACTAAACTAAACTACCACTTAAACTTAATAAAAGTAGTTTTACTTATGATGATCTCTTAAATTTACGCGAACACTACACGTTGAATAAAACTATGTATAAGGATTCTATTGTGTCTAATTTAAGCAAATGGATGGGTGCTGCCATCTGCTTGGGGTGCTATAATTAACAAAATAAACCCAAACCCAAGCATACCGCTGCAAGACTTAAGATACTGTAAGCTGGTTCTGTGTCGGACCAAAAATTTATATTAAACAACTGAAGGTAGCCGGGTTAACTATGACATTGGGACGTCAAACATCTCAGTCTCCCCCCCCATGATCATGGGTGCTGTAAAGCACTGGAAACGTCGGGAATTAAAAATAAGTCAAAATAAGTAAATTAAACGCGATAGAATCCATATAATATATAGTTTTATTCAATGTGTAGTTTTTCTTTAAAAAAAAAAGAATTAATGATTACATCCCCTCAGCAATTCCTCCTATTTTCAACCGACTTCAAAAAAAGGAAAAGTTTCTCAATTCAACTGTATATTTTTTTTAAATATGTGTTAACCTCAGAACTTTTTTCTAGGTGAACCGATTTTGATGATTCTTTTTATTTTTTATTTGAAAGCTGATGCTTCTCGTGTGGTTCCATATAAATTTGATGAGGATCTGACCAGTAGTATTTGAGTTATCCGTAATAATGCGTATTTAATTGACTTCTAATACATTGATGATGAAGCTCCACACACTTTAACAGCCCACAAACAGGAATGGCGAAATTTTTTTCTGAATATTTTGCTACCATTGCACATATAAAATTCACTCTCAATAATGACAGATTTCATACAGCTTCATCTCCTATTTTTTTACTGTATTATTAACATCTATCTTTAGCATTGTACACATTCAAACCGAACGATATCGTTCGGTGACTGTAGTCACCATGGACAGCTAAGGCAAGAATTTTTGTGGGGACTACAGTCACTGTGGATGCTTCAGTGGATAAAGTTGGTTGCATTTATCTATGGACTGTAGTAGGCATTTACCTTTAGGTGGACTGCTAGGTCGTTTTTAATTTTAGTATTTAAAAAAGCTTTAAACAATCCATATCATTCCAGGTGTTGAGCAACTACCTCTACCCGCTCGTCTTCGGGCATTCCTCAAGGAGTATCACTACAGGCAAAGGGTGCGTGTGCGTCGGTTGGAGCCAGATCTGTATGTGCCACATCACTGCTAGCGTATCTGGGAGAAGTCGGTTAACAACCCCTCCCCTGCTTCCCTCCTGGCCCGACATAATATAATAATAAGATTTCCCCAAGAGATTCAATGGTCCTCATTTAAAATATTTCTCGCTAACTGATCTCCGATTATACCTACATTCAAATTATTGTAACTATGTTAAGAGAATAAAAATGTAAACAAACTACTTATTTCGGTGCTTGCCAGAACCTTTGGCTTCGGTCAAAACTTCAGTCTTCCATTTGGGCCAAAGGTGGCCGAAGCTAAAGCTTCGGTCGGACACCTTACCACTTAAATTATTGCACCAATATGGGATCAGCGGAACGAGATAAAAATGTAAACAAACTACAACTATAATAGTCAATTTAACTGGAGGTTAGAAGCGTTTTCAAAAACTCAAGCCTGTCATCCATAGATTCTGATATACCTCTCACCTTTACATACAGATATTTACAGATACTTGCTTGTTGGTAAAGGGGACTCTTAATTTGATTTTATCTTGATTCTTCAGTATATAAGGTATTGCTTGTCAACTGTGCCGCTCACTTCTGCACTTCTGTGAGGAGCGGACGAGCATACGGCTCCCCTGATGGTAAGTGATTACCGCCGCCCATGAATAACTGCAACAACAGGAGAATTGCAAATACGTTGCAGGCCTTTTAAAAAGGAGAAGGCTCTTTTCTTGAAGGTCCCTAAGTCGTATCGGTCCGGAAAAGTCTCTGGTGGTAGTCGATTCCACAAGGAAGTTGTGCGAGGAAGAAAACTTCTTTTAAATCGCACAGTGGTGGACCGCCAGTCATCCAGATGGTATGGATGATATCGTGAGTTCTGTCGCGATGTGCGATGGTGAAATTGTGCGGCTGGAATTAGTCCGAATAATTCCTCAGAGCACTCCCCGTGGTAGATGCGATAACGTCTTTGCGGTGCCAGTGAGTCAAGCTAATCGGAAAGAGCTCGGTCGACGACGATCCGAGCAGCGCTCTAGCTCAGTAACTTCAAAACAAAAATCAAAGGAAACAATTCAGCATTACTGTTTACTTTCTTTATTCGGTCTCACTGGCCTTATCTTCTTTTAACCCTACCTCGTCCCTTAAATTTTGGTCAAAAAGAAACATTTGTGTAGTTCTACCTTAAGAAAGAAGACAGAGATGATAGGAAACACATTCTATATAATATAACAACATATTCTATCTCATTCTCTCGCAGACTAAATCCTATGGATGTATATGTTTGTCTCTTTTTAATGTGGCTTTTTCATTTCATCGAGTCTCATATCACTACGATTCTAAAGAACTTATCACTTCAATAAACGTCGAGTAAACATATTTAAGACCTATTTAAATACAGTTTAAGGTGGGAGGAAGGTGTTTAACTTAATTTAGATACTTTAGAAATTCTGAAAATCTTGCAATAATTTAAAAAATTGTATTCTGCTACTGCACGAAATGGTAATATATCTGTGGTTTAGTCGAGGGAGTGAGTGATGTTATAATGAGATTAATGTTGCCTGTAGAAAAATATAACATGTAACAAATACACTTTGGTTACTACTGTTTGTTAGTGCGTTATCAGAATCAGTATAGAAATAACTTTTCTTCAGACAACTTGACCATTAAAATTTTAAATTACATTGAGAAGTATTTTAACAAGATTCAAAGTTTATTCTTTTATAACATAACATTGAAATATATTATATAATATTACTACTTGTTCATTGCAAGAATGCAGTTACCTCCCGCCGCGCCCCCTCACTCCGCGCCTCAAGCGTCGCCCTGCTAGTACCGATAGCAGCGCCTTTTAAATGTAAAAAAAAAACTATAACAATTTTTAATTATAATATTTTATAATTATATCCGATACGCTCCTATTCAAATTCACTTTACTAAATAAATTATTTTACAATATGCATTTTATCTACTTGTTTGCTCTCAATTATTGTGTATAGGACAAACAAGTTCTTACTTAGTTTTGCTCAATTTGACAAAAAAATAAATAGTCATCATCTTTATTTGATATTATAGATAAACAAGATAACTTTTTTGCCTACGATACCGTCGGATGTGATATCATAACGGTGGACGACTGCAAACTTGAAATGAACACGTAGTAAAAACTATAAAAATAAATCATGTGTGCAGTTCACACCAGGCAGAAGTGAAACCTTTAAAAATTTCTAGGAAAATAACTGCAATAGCACCATTTACTTCATTCTTAGGTTCGAATAAAATTGATTGACAGTCAAGTGGCCCTTAACCCTTAACTACCTACCTCCTATTTTTGTAACATAACCACCTACCACCCGTCTTAGAGACGTGTGTGTCAAATTACCCTCGCATGTATAATATTTGTAATTGAAAGGTTATGGAAAATAAAATAACATTTTAATTATGTTAGAAACTATGTATTATATTAAGAAACACAAAATAAAAATGATTATATTTTGCATAATCTGAATAACAAAAACCATCTCACTTTTGTTGCTACAAAAATACAGTCTTTGGATAATGAGAACAATAAAAAAATTACAAAAAAGATAATGCTTATTCATTACTAATTTTTAATTATTCAATAATCAACAAAGAGATAAAAAAATTTATTTACTTTCTAGAACAACTCAATCAACAAAATTGCAGACCATAAACTTTACATTTTTTCACGGCAAAAATTGCACAGTTTATTAGAACATTCGAGGCAGTGGGTACCTTACATTCGAAACAAATATATTGGGTTCTGCGTTTCTTTTTCGGGTCACAAGTAGAACATGTCTTGCGAACAGCTAACCTTTCTTTAGCATGGCTGCCACCTGGAACCTCTGCTGGAGTCGCCTCGTCTTTGTGATGGAGTATACGTCGAAGAGCGATTTTTATATGCCGTTGCATCTGAGGATTATTTTCACGGCGCTCCATATGTGGTCTTGTGAGCTGTTCGGCTAATTTCTTCAGGAATTTGAATCTGCTTTCAGTTTTTTGAGTTCGGCCTTTAGCAGATAAGCTGACAACGTAACAGTTTGAAGCTAAAATATCTAGCAACCTGTAAAATACTGCCAACGGCCATCTACGAGTGCGACGGCCTGTTGAGTAGTTGGCGTATCTCTGATCTAGTAAATCTACACCAATTTTGGTTTCATTATAATATAGTATTATCTCCGGTTTCTTTGTAGTATTGTCAACATTTGCAGTATGGTGCATACTTGAGACGTAATCACTGCTTTGTTTAGTTTCGGCACATATGATGATATTGTAATATCTTTTGTAAATCCAAATACAGTAGTATCAACATTTCTGTTACGAGCGGGCAAAAATTCTGGGGGAATTTCTCTTTGATTCTTTCGCAACGTACCAACAACTGTCAGCTGCTTCTTTTTCATTTGTTCCAATAGCTCTATAGATGTGTACCAATTGTCGGTAGTCACATTTCGATTAGAACCTTCAATTGGAGGTATAAGGCGCAGAATTGCCTGAGTGCAGACAAATTGAACCCATCGGAATCCTTTCCCAAATAAATGTAGGCATTGAGCAAGTAGCCCGATCTTGCATCTGTAAGGCACTGTATTTTTATGCCATATGTGGCTGGCTTTTTTGTCATATACATCTTGAAGCGGCATCTGCCACGAAATGCCAGTAACATTTCATCGATACATGCACAACTTCCGATTGCATAAACAGCTTGACAACGGTTTATGAAGGAATCAAAGAGTTCAGAAATAGGAGCAGAAGGATCGTGCTTTTGACGTGCCAGTCTGGTCTCTGCGTCATCAAAACGAATGGTTTTGAGCAACACTTCGAATCGATTTTTACTCAGAATACAACGGTATATTTCCCTTCCTGTACCGTCCATGCTATACCATGACGAATAGTGTTCGCGGTTTTCCTTAAATATAGCTGTATAGAACAGGAATCCTATGAAAGCTTTCAATTCCATTAGATCCATATCTTGAACACAGGTTTGCTTTTGATAGTTTGATCTAATCTCTCTTATTTTCTTATTAGTGTGCAAAACAATGTTTTCGAGCATTTCGTCAGTAAAGAACAACTTCCATATGTCCAGTGGAGAAGATGAAGAATTTATTTGATCTCGGTATTCGGGTTTGATACCTTCACGCTCCCTGACAATATTATGCTCTAATGTTCTTGTACGTGAAGACGAAGGAACAGATGCCCAACGGAAACGATTCTTTCCAAAATAGTTTTTCTTTCTACGCAATTCTGCCAGCGACATGTCATCTTCTGATGAAAAGTCAGAGTCTGCAGTTACAGGATCAGTAAAATTTGAAGATGGTTCGCTATTACCTTTTTCCGATGACGCCAGATCTTCCTCACCATCAATTTCTGAATCCGATCCGCAATCTTCTTCCTACTACTTCCTGTTCGTCAACATTACTTTCGACTTCACTGCATTCATCGTTAGGCAGATCATCTTCATCTGATAACTCATTTTCTAACAAATTTTCAATATCCTTGTCCCGTAAAGCCATATTTCACTGAAAAAATAAACAAGGAACATTTGAGTTTAGTCACGCAACCAACTACCCGTCTCCGAAACACTCGACGACAGTTTTTTACTCACCACAGGTAAGCGAGCGCAGGTGTAGCGTCGACGAGCGCATACGCGGCACTGAGGGACGCGGAGGGAAGGTACTCGAAAGCGCATGATTGTACAGTGTAAGGGCGTGAAAATATTTGTGATTTTAAAGTAGCTTCCGTCTGGTAGACGGGTGGTAGGTGGTTAAGGGTTAAAATTGACGCTAGATGGTCTAAACATAACTTAAACATGATTCATTGTACTATAGTTTTTAATATTGTATATATTTCAATGTTATAGTTAGAGACGGGCCGAATATGGATTTAACCGAATACGAATATTCGGCTGAAAGTTCGGTGAAACTTTTACCGAACCGAATATTCGGCCGAACATTATTCGGCAGCATCCAATTTATATCAAAACTTGTTATCGTAAAGCTCGTTTTTTGGACTTATTTGGAATTATTTTAGAGAAACT